GGCAAGTCGTGTCGCGTCTCGTCGCGTCTCGTCGCGTCGCGAATTTCCGCCCCATTTACCCGTTTACGAGCAATCGACTGTTCCGTGGACAGCTGCGTCGAATCTCGGCGAATAATCTCGAACGGAATAAAAATCACTAGGAGTACGATGTTTCGCGTGTTTTAATTCGCCTCGTTTTTTGTATTTGGAAATCGAACATCGTCGGAAACGAATTGCCGTCGAACGAACAGCAGTTTCGAAAAGGCACATCGAGTGATTAAGGTTACGTCAGCATCTCTCTTCGCCGATGTCTGTCTCTGACGAGGAAACGCGTGCACCCTTCGCGCGTTCGCCCAGCCGCCCCTCACCTACTACACACGTGTCACGAATACACGCGAACGCTCCTTGGAAAGGGAAACGATGACTGGCTGTTTGCGATAGACAGCGATTGCAACTGCGGCTGAAATCTATGAACTCTACACGATGCGCTCTTGCATCGGACACGGAATGTTCGTGAGAAAAACAGTTGGTCGCAGTCGCTTTCGGAGAGTAATCGTTCAACAGTTTTCTGTCCCGAAAACTGCGAATTAACGCGAATACGATTCAAGAGGAAAAAGTTCTATGATAGAAAAAGAAATTGAAGTTTAAACAAGTTCCGTGCACACTCGTTACGAGTTAATCTTTTCCGACGGTATTCGTGGCGATAATTAACGCGTTGCGAGTGAGACGATCGGAACAGCTCATAGGCCGGTGCTCTTTGCTTTACGTCTATAAATTTCTGTCGGTCCACCTACATGACTCGGCTTACGACACCACCCTCCTAATAATCGTGCGATGTTTCTTTCTCGAGACGCCGACGAGACTGCGATCGTGTATCTCCGTTACAAGGAACAAACACGTCGACCAATTTCACCTACATTTCCGCCGTATCTCTTCTCTTCCTGGCTTATATCATAGTAACGCGTTCATCGTTGCAGTAGTCATCGTTGAGTCGCGTTTTAAATTTCGGCCGCGGTACCATTACCCCGTTAACACGGACCTTAATCCTCGTTCAGCCGATACGCGACTACCTTTGGGAGCTTATGGGACTGTCTTAAATGGTCAAACGATAAACTGGTATGGCCGCAAGGAACAAATAGGGAAAAAGATTCCGACTTGTTATGATGAAAAATAATTAACAAAATAATCCTCGCTAAACGGTTTAAAGGTCTTTCTTTCGATACCGTATAGTAAAATCTATCTAAAATGTTATATTATATTTTAAAATTCGAGTATGGTTGAAAGGTGACCTAATATCGGTCATTATCGTTTAATGATCGGTGTGCCAGCTGTGATAATAGGTAATAGCGGAGCACAGGGGTCGACAAACTTCCGTTTTTGTATGGTCCGTCAGTTAAAAATAGTTTGTAAGGATATCTGTCTACGTATCGTGTGCCGAGTAAAGCTAATAATCGGCAATAGGAGAATAGAGTCGTTATCGAAAGAGGAGGAAAATCGAAAGGTATCGATCGCGTGACATCGACAATAAGCAGGAGAATGTCTGATATGACAGTGTACGCGTTAACTGGGAAACGCAAGGGGTTGTTAATTTAGCCGAAAGTGGAAGCGGAAAATTCCCCACGGCGAGGATAGTCTGAGAGCGGAGGAGGGGAGGGTGGATCGTTTCGGATTGCCGTATTATCGGCGTCAGGCCTGGAGCGTTAAGGGTTTTCGAGGCAGCCGCGCAGACAGAAATTTGCGGAAGAAGAGGCCGCTAGAGCGACGCTGATGCCAACTCGAGCACGATATCGATTTAAACGATTACCACAGCCATTCGTTCGCCCCATTTGTGGCCCGACAGTTAATGCCGAATTCGAACGTCCTCTATGTTTCCGAATTTCGCTTAACCGCTTTCTTATTCCGCTTTTCTCTTCTCTTACCGATTTTTCGCTCCTACGATATTTTTTCGAACGAAACGAACGTAACTTGTCGAAGGATAAGATCGACGATAAAAAAGAAAGATTCGAATTTGGAACGCGCAGCAGATTTTTCGTCGGGCAAAGCGTTTGATCGTCGCAGGGAAAAAAAATAAAGGACTAATTAATTAATTCTGTACTCGTTCGATAAAATTTGAAGGATAGTTGACCCAGAAATACATAGAAGAACGAGAACGGATGAACGAACTCCGATGACGTTGAGATTGTTCGTGAAACGCGAATCGTCTTCCTCGATCGAAGGGTGTACCTTTATAATTGGCACGGTTAAATCGCGTAACGGTTCGTCGCGTTCGAAACGTAAGGGTCTTGGAATTAACAATTTTTCCTGCGAACACGTTATAAAGAATAATGGACTTCTTAAACCGTCAGTTTTATCGATCGTTATCGAAAATGTTGTTAAACTATAGGTTTCTTTTCCTATTTTCTTGCTAATGGTCGTTCGCTTTCGTTGGGTCGCGCGCGAACAAAGTAAGAGAGAAGAAAAGCAAAGAAATGCTTCGTTAAGCGAACTACCAACTTCTCGCCACTTTGAACAGGGTAAATGGATTGCTCGGCAAACTTGTAATCGGAACAATCTACCGGCGTATTCTTGCCGTCAGAACGTAAACGAAAGTTCCCGTGGCTAACACGAAACCGGAAACGTCTAAACGATACGCGTAAAACTTTCGAGTACACGTTCGATGACGTTCCATGTTCGCGGTATACGGAATAAACGTACGAAATCCGAAATATACGAATAGCCGATTCAAGTAATACCGCGTAATCGAAAGGAGAAACGAATAAAAATAGTATTCCAAGTGCGATAGACTGTCGGTGCATTATATCTGTACGCGTTCTATTATATCGCGCGTCGTATCGCGACGCGTTCTATAGCGTTCGTGTATAGGCGTCCGTTTTCATTTTTCTCCCGGTGAAAACGTTAACGAAGCAACAACAGAATCGAACGACTGGTTATTAAAAGCGGCAACACGCGAACAATCTTCTTTCCAACGGTGATTGGATGTTGAATAGAAAAAAGAAGAAAGTCTAATAACGCGTAAACCCTCGAGAAAGCAAGAGGATCGTACGTGCAACGAATTTGCAAGGGAACCAGAGTATCCTGTTCTAAAACAAAGACTTGTTGGCAAGTCTGTCGAGAGGAAGGAAACACTCGATGAGAAAAGAAGTACGAAGAGAGAAGGGAAGAAGAAGGAGAAGAACACGAGGGCAAATTGAATCCGTTCCTAATTGCAGAGCTTTCTGGTTGAAATGCTTATTAGCGTTGATTGTAAAAGAGGTCGTAGGCCGCGGGGGAGGGGTGAATTTTACACGCGGGGCTAAGTTGCCGTGCTTGCCAAGTGCAGTGCGACAAGATCTCGAAACAAAGAAGTTGATTCCTATTCCAGCCCGGCTGTCTACTTGCCAAATCGTTTTCACCTTCCTCCTTTTTTTCTGTCGGCCGAATCGTCGGAAAATCTTTTTTCCGATTGCTCGGTTGGGTTAACGTTACCGCGAGCCGTCGACTCTGTATCCGAAAATACGGATAGCTGGACACGATACGAACCATGGAGTATTATTAAACCGTTCTTCTAGAATAAGCGGTCGAGAAAATTAACGATTGAAATCTTACCTTATGGAAAAAAAACTAGATAAATAATATCAGCGCGTAATCATAAACTGAAAATTTCGCATGTCATCGCAAACGCTTTATCGAAATGTTTGCGAGCGCTTCTTTTTTTTCCGAAAACGAACCGATTCGTCGTAAAATCCCTTATCCGCGGTAACTGGTCATGTTAATCGAAACGCTGCGAAATAACGTCGGCAATAAGTAGAAATATCCGTTGAAAGTAATGTTAGATTTTATCTAAGCAGGTAGAGCCGATGAAAGAAGGAATAACGTTACGTAGAACGATAAGAATATTAATAGGAATGCATCGAAATAAGAGATAACTCGTCGCTCGATGGCAGGTAGTTTACGAGCGACTCGAATCGTTTCCGCGGGTCGCATAAATTTGACCGGTCGTCGAGAGCGAAAGAGGGAAGGAAGTAAAAGCTCACCTTACAATGGGTGCAGTTGAAGATGACCGAATAGGGCTGAGCACAGTCGTATCGCGCCAGCACTTCCTCGAATTCACAATGCAATCTCGCGGCTAACGCATCGACGAGCAACAGCTTGTCCAGGGCATCGGCGCACTTCTGGCCACCGTTTAGCACGTTCTCGAGCGGACCGCCCTTGCCGGGCGCCAGGGCGTTGACCACCGCGTGCTCGCAGCAGTGCCGCAGACGCAACCCGCTCATGAACCAATATCGATTCTCCCTCGGGGTTAAAAAACTTCGCGTACTGGTCCGGCCAAAATCATCTCGACAGATGTCCCGCTTATGCGATTCCTCGAGATAAAAAAGGCACTGTTCCGGAGCCATCTGTACGCCTTCCGCGGAAATCTTCTTCTTCTTCCTCTTCTTGTTCTTCTTCGTATCGTTGCCGTTCTCCTCCACGGATCCGGGATCGTTCGGCTTGGTTCGCCTCGACCAGGAATTCCTCTCGATCACCTCGAGAAACTCCTTCTCCCGTTCGGTCGGTTTCGAGCCGGTTACGCAGGCGATCGGGCAGTTCTTCGGGACTTCCGGTGGACCGCAACTACCTTGAAGATCGGCCGGCGCTGGGCCCGCCAGATCGCAGGCCGACAGCCAAGGATTTATCTGGTTCACCTCCCAGCTGTATTCGTTGTAAGGATGTATCGTTTCGGATTCGAGAGCCGCCTGGTGACCTTGATACGACGACGACTCGTCCATTTCGCGTTCTTCGCGTTCCTCTTCCTTTCGCTGATCCTCGTACCAGCGACGACGATGCCCGTTACCCTCTCTACCGTACTCCGCGTCTCGAACCAATTGCTCTTCCGGCTGACGATGACGCTGTTTCTGCTGCTGTTGTTGTTGCTGCTGTTGTTGTTGCTGTTGCTGCTGCTGCTGTTGTTGTTGCTGTTGTTGCTGCTGCCGTTGCTGTTCCTGTTGCCGTTGTTGGTACGCGACACCCGACGAAAACAACGATGAAATTTGCGTGGCGTTGCGCTGCAAAAGATTCTCGGCGGGACCGAGGGATGGACCGTGGGCGAAACCGGAAGCAAATTGTCCGGAAGGAGTCGTCGAACAGACAAGCGGCCAAGCGAGCAAATACATGACGAACAACAAGCCGTACTTTCGACCGCAGGAATTGGACAGTCTCGTCGATCCGCTGGTCGCCAACTGTTTCTCGGTGTTGCAGTTTCCGTTGGTAATCGGCTCCTGGAACCGGGCAGTGTAATCGTTTCCGCTTCTTCCGTTTCCGTTCGCGACGCGTAACCGTTCGTATCCGCGTTCGTGCTTCTGGTCGCGAACCTCTCCTCGACGAGCCGTGCTGCTCCTTCGAAGCTTTCCGTCTCGCTCGCGAACAGACGACGCATCGATGTCGCGACGGCATCCGTCCTCGTCCTCGTCGGTGTGGGCAGTGTAAGCGAACGCGTCGACGGAAGGAACGTTCGCGATGGGTATCGGTGAGGGATCGACGGATTGCCGGTGATCGCTCTTTCGTCTCGTTCTCTTTCTCGTTCTCGTTCTCGTTCTCGTTCTCGTTCTCGTTCTCGTTCTCGTTCTCGTCTCGTGGTCGATTCGGTCGCGAGACGGCCGTGACCTCGATTCTCTAGGCGACGTCCACGAAACGCGCTCGACGAGGCCGGCGTCGTTCTCCTCGTCGTCCTCGTCGTCGTTGTCCTCGTCGTCGTCGCTGTCGC